TTTTGTTTAATTTTTAAAGCCTCCCCGGTGACTGCAACTTGCTTTCTCTTATATAAAAACACGGTTTTTTGTTTTGTTTTGCAATCTCTCTGTTAATTGAGGTCCAAGTGGACAACAAAGTTAAACAAATGAATATTACCCGAAACTTGCAAGCTAATTTCCGATTTCTAAAGATCAGAATATTCACCAGCACATGAACTAGCACCTGTCATAGGCGTAGGAACATTTCAAAAAGTGGGGGGGGGGGCAAGCTCAGGGTGTACCTCAGCAGCTTTTTCTGGGAAGCGAGCCCGATGACCCGGGGAAAGGGGGGTAAGGATGCAGGTTGTTATCGCCCTTTATTCAAACGTCATGGCTGCTATACCAGATATGCATCTAGAGCTGTTTCTCCCTGGTGCACAATCTTACCTATTCGACTCATCTGTCACTTGGCAAATAAGGCAATCCAGTTTCCCAAGATTATTCGTCCATTTCAACGTTGTCTTTCCTGGGGAGGAGAGACTCCACGAGCGGGTAGGTATTTTTGGTCATAAAGGAAGCATCTGCCTGCACAGTGTAGATGCCAAAATACTGCCTGGATATAGGCTGGTGAGAATTTTGAAAGGGGATCGATGGCTCACAGTGCAAGAGACCTTTCATGCGCCTTCATTTTGCTGGCTGCTTTTCAAGAGATGAACTTATAGCAGCACTTTAGGCGGAAACAGATTCGGGAGCTTGAAACCAACAGAAGCAATGTGACAAAGGCCATAAGACTGGAGATTGCCTTTTAAGAACTAAGCCACATAATAAGCCCATCTGTTGCATGTTCCTTATCTGGGCCCTGCTCGTGCCCGCCGTCGGTGGTCACTACCCTGGCCCGGATGTATCCCGCATGACTGACTGCGAACTGATCGTATGGCTGCTTTGTTGCATACTTTTGGGTCAGTGTTACTACTATATGGTGTATGAAACATGTGTTGGACACCTGCAGCAGCACCTTTTTCCGAATTATCTTCCCTTACACTACACCATCGCAGAAAAATGGCCTCCGAGAAGTTGTCTGCCTTAGGTATGAATTGGCTCAAAGGACTCTTCATTGCTCATCATGCAACGTATACGACTTGATTTGCTTTTGTGTGCAGGCAGGGACGTGGCCACGGCCCCGCCCAGGGTGAACACAAGGTTGACAAAAGCCCACCTCACGGTGATCCCCCAAAATCCCCGGATATAGCTTACTTGTTAACAAGTGACACGGTTTTCTTTGTTTTATTGTTATTTTTACCTTGTAGCCAGAATAGAAACCAGGGCTACCATGAGCTCAATCCTGTTTGTATTTTGAGGTCAATAAAATGCAGAAATCAGGCGCTGAACGACTGCGTGGAATAAATCATCGGCGCTCTTAATTTATAACGATTAGTTGACTCTTTCTAAACCGATGGAATTCAGGAGCTTTGTCAAATTTTTTATCTGGGTTCTACAGACATTGAGGACACCGCGAAGGTAGGCTGTAGATCGATATGTTTGATCCAAATTTGAAGATGAAAATTTGATTGCAGATCGAGTGGTGAACAATGTATATTAACATGGCCAAGCCGGGTTTGTCTGAAAATGTTAACCATTCGGTCGGAATCGATTAATGATATAATTTATGTAACGGGTTTTTTAACATGAACGCCCGCAAATCTCAGCAACAAAAACCCCGACACAAGGCGTTGCAATCTCCGTAGACTGCTGAGCGCTCGCTCAGTGGCTAACTTTTAGCCGTGGCCCAACGGTGGACGAAAATGATGACACTTCTGAAATGATAACCTTTAAACACTTCAGCCGACTAGTAATGCAAGTAATCTAACGTACTTTTGAGCATGCACACTCGAAAATCTTAGAAACACAAGCCTCGACCCCAGGTGTTGCAGCCTCCGTAGGTCGTGCAGCGTCGGCCTAGCAGCCAATAACAAGTTGCGGCCAACGGATGGATGAAAATGACGACGCTTCTGAAAAAGTATCCTTGAACGCTTCATGACATCAGGTCGCACATTTACAGGACAGTCTGAACGCATACTTGGCGTGTACAATTTTTAGACTGATGAAAAGAACAAATTGGCCTTTAAAGCACCACGAAGTGGAGCTGGAATCTAGTAGTTAAACTGGAAGAGTGAAGATAGAATCTCTGTTATTCGCGTTTTTGCAACTATTTATCTATCCAGAAGATAGATTAACACGGTGCCCGCCGTATGGTGGCACTTGCAGTGGCCGAAACTTTTTGGTTTTACGGAAGTTGCAACCAAGACCATCCTTGTTCTTGCTCTCGAGGTTGCGGGTAGGCATGCTCAAGCCTTTTGCTATAATTTGCTTCAATAATACATGCTGAAAAAAATGGACGTTCTCAGGCAAATATGGCATGGCTCTGCTTGTTTCTTTAAGCTCATTTCGACCTACCCTATTCAACAATAATGAGACCCCCACTCTACTCACCAGTAATGAGACCCCTTATTTCCTTCCGGGTAAGGGGTTCTTGGGTAGAACACCAGGGGTACATTGTCACTTCCGGTCAACGGATGAAGGGCCATTCTGTCCCATCGCGAAGTGTCTCCGGCTATCATTCTGGTGATACGGGGTGGGATCTCTTGGTCGATCCGGAGATCATTAGAAGGCTTTATCATATCACATTGTTCTCATCCCTGACACGGGAGGCCTTCTGACACGCACATTCAGCCCCGGATCAGCGCAGGAACGCTCATTCACGCAACAGCGTCCCTGATCACCGCAGGTGGTCCAACAATTGTCACACAGACTCCAGTTCCGTGTTTTTCTGTGTTCTTCAGAGATATTGAGTTCTCCCTGACCGTAGATTGTAAATGAAAAGGGGCTTCCTTATTCGTATTAACATAGCTAGCCTACGTTCGTCTTAAAATGCTCAAGATCCTGTCAGAACTGGTTGCTGATAAGACAACTACGCAATAAGGTCTTGAACATGCGGGCTCGCAGGTCATAGCAACAACACCTCGACGCCCGGCGTTGCAGTCTTCAGGACGTGCGGCGTCGGCCTTGCGGCTGTAACGCTAAGCGATGGCTAATGAGCCAACGAAAAGGTGACGCACCTTAAGGAAGATGGCTAGTGAACTAAGTCAATCGGCATGCGTGTTTAATGTGATGCAAAGTAAGCCAAATGCAACCTTAATCTGAAAAGTGGGGGGGGGGGGCAGTTAACATTGCTGGCCCTCCCACTTTGAAAAGCGGGACGCGGGGCCATGCCCCCCCCCCGGCCCCCCTGTTCCTACGCCCATGACGCCTGTCAAAAAGTATTGTAGTTGCTGTGGTGTCCAGCCCTTGAGTGGTGTGGAGCTCCTGTCGTTTGGCTTTGAAGGGTGGCCTTGAGAGGTCAACATCTTTTCATGCGTTAAGATAAATATTTTGATGCTTAAAATTCCGAAATTGGCCGTTGGCTATTGGGTGGTTTTGCGTTTTCCGTCATTTTAAGCCGCCATTTGAGGCTTAATTTGGCCTTGCATTATGACTTCGAGATTCGGGGATGTTTAACAGACGCCTGTTTATGGGATCAAAATGATTCTGGTGCTCAGGAAACCAAAATATGCCGGAAACTCTTGGGCGATTGGAGCTCCCGTCTTCGATCTTGTGGGGTGACTTTGAGAAGTCAGGATTTTTGGACCGATGCTAGTTCATACACTTTCGAATTTTCCTTTTCTTAGAAGTCCGGCATAGGCCTGTTGCTTTGCTGGGGTTGGATTTACCCCTCATTTGGTCTTGAATTCAACTATCAAGGTCATGGGATATTGACAAAATAAACATCGGATTTGGTTTTAATGTACCGTAATTTAAACCTTATGTTAGTTACATCGAAATATAATATGCATATATATATACATATATATATATATATATATATATATATATATATATATATATACATATATCGCTAAATCAATCGTTAGGTTGACAGACATCCCCAAGTTCTGAAAGTTGTGGGAACGTTTCGCCCACGCCCCCCCACGGTGTTCCCGTAACCGGTTGAGACGTACCCATGAACGCCATGTACCGATGCACAATCTCCCTGCACCAACTGGTGGGGCTGCCGGAGGGACCCGTGGTGACCAGATGTGGCTAAGGTGCAGGCAGAGGTGGCTATGGGACTGTCTGTGCTTCTACTCATGCAGAACGGCCCTCTTTGGCTTATCTTACTCGAAACAACAGTCTTTTTCGTGCCGTCCCAGCCGGGAATTGGTCGCTGGAATTGCATTGACGATGAAAGCCCACTAAAGTGTACCTTGGGACTGTCCCTTCCCACATCCAGACTTTTTGAAACTTGAAACGCCCTAATTATGGCTGCGGCATGCTATTGGTAAAAATTGCGCTGTTCTCGCGCAGTGAGGCGGCGCTGTAGGGCTTCAAAGTTTTTAATTGGAATGGCTCTGAGCCTCCCTACGTCACTCTGCAAATCCCAGAAAGTCACGAGTTTTACCAAATCGAACCATGTTATAACCAAACAATACCAGCTCTCATCATTCTTGTTTGGAGCGGATCTGGATTTGGATCTGGACGTGGAAAATTTGCCAACGGGTACAGTACTGGATCCGTACTGGGTACTGGGCCGTACCCGCACTAATCCGCCTGTAACGAAGCGGTTGCTGAGCTGGTAATGCCCGTTCATCATGGGCAAAACCGGACTTTGCCGGGGAAAGAAAAGCTTGATGGCATTGGAGCAGAAGCTGGCAAACTGAAACATATCAGATTGCGCGATTCTGCAGTGCTCCCTTGCGAAAACAAACTATTGCATTTCGAGGGAGATGGACAGCCCTAGGCTATCCTCTTAAACATCCGGCATATCTGATAAAAATGTTGAATTTAGTTATAAAGCTTAACTGACGAGCGTATCAGTGCGTTGCCTGACCAGCATTCCGTTCGACCAAAAATGGAAGCATATATATGGCAGGATGTGGTATCAAAGTCTTTAGACATAAACAACGCAGTCGCGACATCATAAGACTGAGTGCTGCGCAATATTAATAAAGGTGAAGATTGACTATTGAGTGTCGCCAAAGGTTGGTTGCGCTGGGCTAGCGGAAGGTGAGTAGCATCAACCGAGAATGTATAGAACATCAACACAGTTTTATAAATATTTAGGTACTCCAATTCGATCGATATCGCTCATATTTCGCGTTCAATATTGCCCTTCGGCCGCTGCATCAGACAAAAAAATGGCTGGTTGTCATAGGTTGGTGTCAGGAATGCGGCCTCAGTTCTTGCTCAGTGCGGCTGTTGCGAATCTTTGGAAGGTAATAGTGCGCTACTAATGCATGATGGGTCTGTATAAGGCAGGTTAAACTGTTGAATTCCAGATTCTGTTTGAGCACAAACATTCATCATGTGTCTGATTTAATGTAAGTAGTGTGCTTTCCTTCTCAGAAATTGTTTATTTCAAGATATAGAAGAAGTGGTAATGTAGTCAGACAAATCAAGTCAGTCAATTAGTACAAAAAACATCAGTAATGGAATTGCCATGACACTTGAATAAAGTACCAAGTTAATCAGTTGTACATGTTATGAAAACTTCAAAGTGGTGTTTTGTAATGTTTTATTTTGTTTTGGGGTTCAGCAGGGCTGTGAATCCCATGAAATGTTTTGAAAGGGATGTTTAACAAATTATTTGTAGGTTGTAACCAGTGTTAGCAAATTATTTCTGGACCATAAGTCACTCAATCACATAGTCCTCTTGCACCACACAAATGCTATTTTGCTTGACATTTGTATGTGGTTATTTTTTAACAATGCGTGGTTTCAGAAGTGTAAATCTCCTATTTGGATGCAGTGTTGTTTCCTAATGTTTTGGAAAGAGTATGATGCATACTTACCTGTTTGTTGGACTGATATATTTAAATATCAGTGGATGATGTAGGATAAGATGTAATACACTGTGAATATATCTATGATTGCCCAATATGTAGTGATGCCTCTTGGCTCAGAGTGGCAGGGGCTTTAACCTGGCTTCCATGAGCCATGCTTCCCTATCATCAACTACATAAAAGACATAATGAGACATAAAAGACATACATATCTGCTTGGTACAAAGGAATAATGGCCAAACTTGTTGGCTGGTACTGAATGACTGTGTGTCCTGTCTTCTGGCATGTACTTTCTGTGTTGTGGTCAAAAGAGAGATGATACTGTTCTTTTTCAGTACATGCAGTGCAAGAGATAATGGGTGCCAGTAAGCCTGACCTTGTTCTCTCTGGACACACCAATGATGTCAACAGTTGTGACTACTCAGCTGATGGGCTTCTGGTCACCAGTGCAAGGTATGCTGAAAGCTATGGTAACCTGAGTTTGGTTCATATCATTTACATTTTAATTGCATTTCATTTAGTTCTTTAATGGCCAATAGTAATATAGATTATACTATCCTTCTTTATTGGCCAATAGTGATATAAATTATGCTAATGTATGCTGTACTTCTCTTATATTTAACTCTTTGAATTATATTACCCCTTTCCTTCACTGATTTATTGGAAAGGTAGCAATTGCCATTTTCTGGTGTGTTGTGTGGGCTGTCTAAGCCATTCATGTACCATCATTGTCATTCAGGCTTCCCCACCAACAAGGATGCACTGTGACTCTGACACTGTGCCTCAGTGACAAGACAGTGCGCGTATGGTTGCGGCAACCGGCAACGGACGAGTTCGTGGAGGTGGCCTACTCACCGCTGACATACCACACGTACAGTGTGCACTGTGTGCGCTTCGCTCCCCGTGGGGGCAGCTTCATCTCCTGCTCGACAGATGGCACTGCTGTTGTATGGAATGCAAAGGTCAGAAACAAAGCTGGCTGTGTGACCTCGCCCCATGGAGGTGTCCATTGACATGGCCCCGACCATGTGATGAGCTGCGGCGAGACGTGGTGCCGGTGTTACGGCCTTGTGCGTTGACTCACACGCGCTTGAGGAGCTCGCGCCGATTTTAAACAACCATCCATGATATTAATGTCATATTTTGTACCATGCATACCACGGCACATGTTCATTCGAAAACTGGCGCCTCAAGCAGTGATCTGCACGGCGTCTCCGCAATAACGCCTCGGAAGGTACAATCACACGAGCACCAGGGATACGCAGCCACATCGGCCTTACCATGACCTCGCGGTCGTCCCTGCAGCGTCCGCCCGACAGCAGCCGACCGCCCCCCCCCCCCCCCGGCCGGCAGACGGGCGTGACGATGTCGACGCTGCGCCACCCGTCGCAGTCGCCGCTGCGCGCCTGCTGCTTCTCGCCGGACGGCTCGCTGATCGCCACGGCCGGCGACGACGGCGACGTGTGCGTCTGGAGCGCCGAGCAGCCGACCATCCTGCTGTGAGTGCTGCCGGCCGCGCTGCCGCCGTGTTTTGGCGGATTTATGGCCAGGTGTGGTCCATTTGCTAACAGGGCATGTTTTTATCGGTTATTTTGTGTTTTGTATACATTTTTCATTACATATCTGGATCAGGAGCCAGGAGGTCTACCACGAGATCAATTCTGCCTGAATTGTATCGTCAATAGACTGAACAAATCATGCATTAAACGACAGCATTACGTAAATCGCCGTCGCTCCTCATGTTACAATGATCCATTCAACTTTTTTATAAACCGACAGAACTCAGAAGCTCTTCCAGAATTTTGCAATGGGCTTTACAGCATCTAATGCCCAAACTGTGTAAATCGCTGGCCCAGGCTTTGTAGCTGATTGGGAAGTGGGCACTCAGGCCCCTGCTGCACAGGGTTGACTGTGCTGTGCTGGTAGTACCTAACCGACATGGGGTTCCCAATTCCTTATCGACTCATGGGTTCCAGATTGGCACAAAGGGCCCTCTGACTGTCATTTGAGGCCCCTCCCGGCAGGCGGGAGCCTCTGAATAAGACTTTGACCAGACTGTTGTGCCCTGACGCCTTCCAATTGGGCCCTCAGTCGTCGGTCCCGGTGGTCCCTGCAGGCTCTTTGGGCCCTGTCGAACACTGCTATGGCCGACTCGAAGCACCTTGCACATAAAAGTCCCCTTTTAGGCGCTGTGTGGCCCTGATGAACGCACCGGGGTGCCGGTAGTGCAGTGATTAACGCGTGAGCGTTAACCACTGCACGTCTGGGAAACCAGAGGTACGGGGTTCGATTCCTCGCGGTGCCCGCCCTTCCTGTCAGGGTGAGAGGCAGGCGACGCCATATAGCCTCAGCGGCTGGGTGCGTCGTAAAGCCTCAATGGCATGGCATGACTGATGAACGCAGGGGCCTCGACCAACGTAAATTACTGACTCCTGCTCTGGTCCCGTCTTGGGGAATGGACACTGAGGCCCGTGCTGACACGGAGCCGACTGTCGATATCTGTTGTGTCTGACCACCGAATAGGCCCTTATGACTCAGGGGGTCTCCGATCAGCGTGCAGAGCTCTTTGGCTGGTATTGGAGTGCCTGGCCCTGCGGGCCAGGGTCCGCGAATACCACCTTCAGCCGGCCTTTACGGGCCCTGAGACCCTCAAATCGGGTTCTTAGTTGTATGTCCTTAGGGGCCGTCCGACCCCTCGGAACCTAAGGAGAGGGGGGGGGGGGGGCACGTGCCCCCTGTCCCCCCGCCAGCGATCTGATCACCATATGGCGTGGATCAAAATGAGAATCGATGAAGCGGCATCAGCACCAGTCAGCCTGTAGTCTGTAGTCTGTATATTTTCGGTTTTGGGCTATCATTTATAACAGTGGCCTGTGTTATTGTCGTAAAAATATAAGAGATAATGATCTGAGAAGCATTCAAAGTGGTGTTTGATATAAACCAAGCTTTTAGTAGGAAGTGACGGTAGATTGTAAGCGTATGAACTACCCATTGGCTCGGGTTTAATCCGCGCCGAGTCCCGTGGGGGTATAGCTCAGTGGTAGAGCATTCGACTGCAGATCGAGAGGTCCCCGGTTCAAATCCGGGTGCCCCCTGGCGTCCGGCTGCAGTTTTTGGCCGCGCCGCTTTACCACCGTTTCCTTTGGCGATCACCATGTAACGAGCATTTTGCTATGAATCAGTTCACTTTGGATTTGATCCTGCAGCTATCTTGCAGCTGCATGTGGGGGTATAGCTCAGTGGTAGAGCATTCGACTGCAGATCGAGAGGTCCCCGGTTCAAATCCGGGTGCCCCCTGGAGGTGGTGTTTCTTCTTTGCTCATGCAGTTTCCTTTGCCGATTACACTGAATGTGCATTTTGCTATAAATCAGCTCACTTTTGATTTGATCCTGCAACTATCCTGTAGCTGTGTGTGGGGGTATAGCTCAGTGGTAGAGCATTCGACTGCAGATCGAGAGGTCCCCGGTTCAAATCCGGGTGCCCCCTGGAGACGGTGGTTCCGCTTTGCTCACGCCATTGTAGCAACGTCCTTGACGCTCCCTTTGCCGCCACGTGTTGTGTCGTGATTGATACAACATACGGCTACAGGTTGGGAGACTCCCAGTCCGTCGAAGTCAGAGTGGAGGGTTGAATGACCCTCGCCATATGATAGACGTTGTCTGGCGCTCAGAGATGTATTTTTTGCTTGCTTTGTTTGCTTGCCGCGTACAACAGAAATATTGCGGGCCTTGCGAACGGGACATCGTGTTGTCTGCGGATTTGGCTGTGGATGTGAGGCCCCGATTTTAAACCTGGGTGACCGTTCACATCTGGGGCTGTTATTGCGATCGGAACTGTAATTTTTACCCCGTTACTGATGTGTTTTGTGCTTTCTTCCCCGCGATCGTATGTTTTCGCCCGTGTTTGATCGAAAGGTCTCCGCTGCAGATCAAATGCTTCCTCACACCATAAATTTTCAGGGAACGGCCGGAAGGGTAATTATTGCTTCCTTTGCCTGCGTTAAATCGTTTTTTCCGCCGTCATTTTTATTGATCGTGTTTCACCGTCCAAGTGGTGAAGGGAGCAATAATTTCACATCCGACTGTCAAAAGCATAAACCATGCATCGCCAATAACTCAATGTTATGAGCACCTTCTTATCCACGAGTTGGACCTTCGGGTTGAGATCATTTGGAGGCGGCATTAGAGCCCTTTCAGCCAATGGGCAACTATTTCAGAGCTGTGAGATGGAAGTATGTAGACTGCGGTGGGGCACGTCTGCGTGAATCGACCTGAGAGTCGTCCGCTGTCGAGACTAGGCCAGCGCCGGGCCCTGTCTGGGGGTCCCCTCGGTGGGATTTTTCGGCGCGCGGACGTGCCGCTGGCCAGGGAGGGGGAGGGGGGCACTACAGCCATTTCATGGCTGATGCATGCTTTTTATCACGTCATCGACCATGTTTTATGGTTGAGTCATGAGAGGGTCATGAAATAGGAGTGTGGTGGTTCTGTGGTTAACATGGTGGCAAGTACACCTCTACCCATTTGGTGTCATACGCTGGCGCTTGTTGCTGCTACAATAGGACGTCTGCAGCAGTTTTTGCGCCCAGATAGTCGTTGTTCCACGTTCCACTGGGCGTGGAGTGAATTTCCTTTCGCGTTGGGTCTCGTCCTTCACTTGCGCACGAACATCTGTGTGCCACCATCTGTGCATCGTGACCCGTGCGTCCTGTACCGCCGCCAGCCGAGTGTAGCGCGCGTTCCGCCGTCACGTGACCTCTGCCGCCAGCCGGTCATCCCAGGATCGCTGCCGTCACGTGACGCGTGTGCCGACAGGACGCTGCGCGGTCACGAGGAGACCGTGTCTTGCCTGTCGTTCAACGGTGACGGCGCGCTGCTGGCATCGGGCGCGCTGATCGGCGAGCTGCGCCTCTGGCAGCCGCGCTCGGGCCAGACCGGTCCCGTCGGCGGCGTTCCTACCGCCCACGACCTGGGCGTCACCTCCTGCGACTTCATGCCGCGCTCGGCGGCGCACGGTGAGGGCGGCCGGACTCTCCGCGGTGCTGACACAGGAGGGCGGCCTAAGGCTCCCGGGTGCTGACACAGGAGGGTGGCCAGACGCTCCCAGGTGCTGACACAGGAGGGCGGTCAGACGCTCCCTGGTGCTGACACAGGAGGGCAGCCTAAGGCTCCTGGGTGCTGACACAGGAGGGTGGCCAGACGCTCCCAGGTGCTGACACAGGAGGGCAAACAAAGGGTGGACTGCTGCGTGGCTGCTTTGGCACTGTATGCACGGGCGTAGGAACGCTGGCGGATGAGTTCGTTGTCGCAGAGCTGACGAGGAAAATTATGTGAGTCTCACATGATCATCTTGCACTGGGGAAGACTGGAAGGAGCTAGGCGAGACATTTCTGCACGGTCCTGCCGCGGGCCCCCGACATGCAGCTCGGTATGCAGTACCATCGATTACCTGCGCACCATCTCACCAGCTTGTCATCCGTTGGTGGTATGCGCCCCCAGCCCTCACCCGTCGCCACGTGCGGTCCTAGCCGGCCCGGCCGCCCGTGCCGTCGGCGCTAACTCGCGCCCGCTCCGCCAGACGGCGCTGCCGACATCCTGGCCAGCTGCGGCACCGACTGCGCCGTACGGCTGTGGACGGTGCTGCCGTCTGGCGGTGTGGCGCCGCTCACCTCCCTGCTGGCGCACACGGGCGCCGTGATGTCGGTGCGCTTCTCGGCCGACGGCGCCCTGCTGGCCTCGGCCGCCGGCGACAAGACGGTCCGCCTCTGGAACACGGTCAGCGGCCGGCCCGCGTCCGCCGGGCGGGCGCTGCTTGGCAGCCCCAGCTGGGCAGCCTGTGCTGTGGGTGTGCAGGGCACTTGTGTTGTACTTGTAGATACGTTCGTACTCGTAGGCAGCAAAATTTATGTAGGGCTGTGCATGATTATGTGATGAATAATGTAAGCTGTTCTTCGATCAGCTGCTGTGAAACAATTCCCGTCCGCTTCAAGGAGTGTTAAGAGTCCGCCTTAAAGAACTGACCCAGAACGCTCACGTATTCGTCAATGAGATGCTACGCGCCTTGCCCGGGGCGCAGTACCGGACACTATGCACAGGGTTATACTCTCTGATCACCTTAATATCCTCAACAAAGGGACACGTCATCGAGCTAAGCTCGCTTGCTGTCCTCCGTATTCGGTGATGCTGCGAGTTTCGCCAGTATTTCCCGGCCCACCTGGAATATCTATCGCTGTTATATGTCGCCGTTTTGAACTGCTCTTTCCCACCGGCCACCAAGCGACCCCTGGACGCCTGACGTCGCTCCTGACGCCGCCGTCCCTAACAGAGCTCCTGGCGCCGCCGTCCCCAACAGAGCTCCTGACGCCGCCATCCCTGACAGAGCTCCTGACGCCGCCGTCCCTGAAAGAGCTCCTGAATCCGCCGTCCCTAACAGCTCCTGACGCCGCCGTCCCTGACAGAGCTCCTGACGCCGCCGTCCCTGACAGAGCTCCTGACGCCGCCGTCCCTAACAGAGCTCCTGACGCCGCCGTCTCCGACAGAGCTCCTGACGCCGCCGTCCCTAACAGCTCCTGACGCCGCCGTCCCTGACAGAGCTCCTGGAGCCTGGTGAGCGCGCTGCACGGCCACCAGCGGTACGTGACGTGCTGCTGCTTCTCGCCCGACGGCCGCCTCCTGGTGTCCGGCTCCAACGACAAGACGGTGCGGCTGCGGCTGCTGGGCTGAAGGCACGCCGCCGGCCGGCCGCGCCCTCGTCCCCGCCCCCGGCGCGCCGCCCTCTCCGCAGGTACGGCCTGTTCGGGGCTCTAGCTGCCCGGGCGGCGGCCGGGGCCGCGGGCTCTGGACGGCTCTGGTGTGTCGACTGCGGCCGTGCCAGGCGATGACACGCCGTGCGTGGATGATTTCGATATATGTTGTGTGAACGAGACATGCTCTGTCATGTCTCCGCGGGTAGTTTCAAGTTCGCCCATAAACGTGCCAAGATGTTACGCGAGTGAAATGTTGATAGAGCTCTTAGTTCTGGATGTTGATTATCTTTAACGTTCGCGGATCAGTTTGTTAGTGAAAAGTTGTTGATGTACGACCCTTTGCGAGCCGTCGGTCTTCTGTTGTCAAGTGATGAGACCTTGCTTTTCGTTACGGTAAACCAGCTGTCGGTCTTATCCCTGAGAGCAGTCCAGCGCATCACGCCTGGGTACGTGGTGTATCGGGCCGGCCGCCGACTGGACCTAACCTGACCTGACCTGACCTGACCTGACGGGCAGCCGGCAGACTGGACGTGCCAGGAGGTGGGCGACTGGCTGCGGTCGCTGGGGCTGGCCCAGTATGCGGCCCGGTTCGCAGAGCAGCAGGTGGACGGCGCCCGCCTGCTGCAGCTCACTGAGCAGGAGCTGGGCGACCAGCTGGCCGTCGGTAAGAGCACACTCACTCAGATTAACGGCGTACTGCCTCCCTGTGTGCCGATCAGCCGAGTGGTGATTGGCGAAGTCTACAGGGCCTTGCCCCCCCGGCCGGTGATGTCGTTTTATGTTTAGCCTGTGGTAGCGTAAGGAAAGAATGAATGCTGAACCGTCCATTTCGTGTGGATATGCCCCGCCGTTCATGAAAAAGTGCTGATGATCCACACCCCCTCTGACCATCCTGCCGGTCTTGCTTACGCGCAAAGGTACGGGCTTTGAGTGTGCCGAAAGGGGCGGTGACATAACGTGCTGTCGCGTCGTTTCGTTTGGGCTCGTCACCAGTGCGAGCGCATCGCGCCCCACGCCCAGCTGTCGCTCGGCTCGGTCCGCGGGTCCGCCGCTCACCACACGTGCGCGTCGTCTCCTGACCGACGGCGCTGCGCCCGCAGAGCTGGTGGGTCACCGCAGCAAACTGGTGCGTCAGCTGGAGCGGCTGCGACAGGGCCCGCCGCCGACCGCCGCCGGCAGCCCGCCGCCCGACGAGTTCTACTGTCCGATCACGCGGGAGGTCATGCGGGAGGCGGTCTGCTGCTCCGGTGAGTGCTAGTGGTACGGCGGCGCGCTGGCGCGGCAGCAAGGCAGCGCGGCAGCGCGGCCCGGCCCGGCCCGCCGTTTGGCAAGCGGTCTGCCAGATACCCATGGTCCAACTTCTTCGGGTAGTGAGCGTTTTCACCAGCTTCTCCGAATATTCGTGGTGCATCTTCTTCCGCCAAGAGCAGGAGCCGTGTGGAATCCAACGCTCAGCCTGCGCTGGATAGTGATTGCACGATATTCGTTGGCCGTTCCTGGACCGGGAGTTCAGGCGTACCGTGGCTCCAGCAACCCTTGTTGAGGGGGTGAGGGGTACGTGGGCAGTGACTGATGGGCTTCAGATCCCGGACTGCGTCCGTATCGCACCACGCCGCCGTGCGCAGGCGGCAGCCGGCTGTAACCCCAACCTGAGCCTGAGCCGGAGGCGCCGTGACCCTCGGCCATCCTGACCCGCCGCCGTGACCCTCGGTCGCCCTGATCCGCCGCCGTGACCCTCGGTCGCCCTGACCCGCCGCCGTGACCCTCGGTCGCCCTGACCCGCCGCCGTGACCTTCGGTCGCCCTGACCCGCCGCCGTGACCTTCGGTCGCCCTGACCCGCCGCCGTGACCCTCGGTCGCCCTGACCCGCCGCCGTGACCCTCGGTCGCCCTGACCCGCCGCCGTGACCCTCGGTCGCCCTGACCCGCCGCCGTGACCTTCGGTCGCCCTGACCCGCCGCCGTGACCCTCGGCCGCCCTGACCCGCCGCCTTGGCCTTCGATCGCCCTGACCCACCGCCCTGACCCTCGGCCGCCCTGACTCACCGCCGTGACCTTCGTCCGCCCTGACCCACCGCCGTGACCCTCGGCCGCCCTGACCCACCCCCGTGACCCTCGGCCGCTCTGGCCCGCCTCCATGACCCTCGGTCGCCCTGACCCTCGGCCGAGCTGACCCATCCCCGTATACCCTCGGCCACTCTGACCCTCCGCCCGTGACTTTCGACTGTCCTGACCCGCTGCTCCGCCGCTACCGCCGCCGGCGCACCCCTAATCCCGCCATCGGGCCGTTCCAGACGGCTACAGCTACGAGCTCTCGGCGATCACGGCCTGGCTAAAGGAGCGCACCTCCAGCCCGATGACCAACGAGCCGCTCAAGGCCGTGGTGCTGGTGCCCAACCATGCGCTGCGCTCACTCATCAGCCACTGGCGGCTGCAGCACAGCCAGTGAGCGCGGCGCCGGCCCGCGGCGCGCCGCAGCGCCAATATTCGCGCGCGGATTCTCCAGCACGATCAGTGGTGTCTGTCAAGTGCAATTATCTCCACAATCACGGCTGTTGTCGACACGAGGGACGGGATAGGAAATGCAATGCTTTGTTTCGTTTCCTGTCAGGTCCCTTTTGGGAGGTGCTGGTCATAGCGTGGCGTCTGAAGTTATGTATTCGTTAGTTATCTCGCTCGTGCTCGTGATTTTGTTATTGAATGCTCCTTTCGAAGCTCTGAGTTCTTTGATTATACTTATTTCGCTGCAAGCAGTCCAGTGATACGAGACTAGCTCGCTGTTTGCAGTTCGAAATGTGCGGATCGTTTTATTGGAGTGTCCGAGGGTATTGTATCACGTACTGGTTATGAAATAGAGCAATTTTTAATGTTTGCACGTTATCCCATTACTCCAGGAATGTTCGGTAATGTAATCGCCTTCCGTGAGCATGATCTCATTGCGTCCAGTCGCGTTATGTGCTCGCCTGATTTGTGATCCGTTGCACGACGCTTTCCGTTCTCGCATGCGTCGTGAAAGGTGGACAGTAAGCTGTCTTCGTAGCATGGCGCCATTGTGGCATGCCTCGTCCGTGGCGTAGAAGCATATCTGTTGTGGTCTTAGTGACCGCGTTTCTCCTGCACGCACATCATATGACGGGAAAGCACGCCGCCAGCAAGCAAGCTGTCGGTCAAAAGCCGTGACCTCTGAGAAGGGAGCAGGCGTGGGCCAGATAGAGGACGCCTCACTGGCATCATCGAGCCGGTATCTGAGCTGTTCTGTACAATCGCCGCTCTGCGAAACAAACTACGGCGTGGCACCAGAGCTGAGCGTCCGGGCTCGGGAGGTTCGCAAATTCGACGCCAAATTCGGATCCGCCGCATATCTGAGTGCCGAAATGAGCATTGATATGTTTGGAACAACATAACTACTGAAAAAGAATGGAATTTTGCTTGAAGCGCTCATTATCGGTTTTAGACCACTTCCACCTTGATTTCGGCGTTCCTCATTGGTGGTCGGGTATGACTGGCGATTTTTCTCCCATGAAGCTCATTTCCAGAAAGCATACTGAATCGCGCTGTCGCACGCCACTTTGGCACCAGATTTCATAAGCCTCATCTTGAAAATTGCTCTGGACAATGTTGCAGCGTACACGGGGGTCAAAAACCCGACATGATAAGCACAAGAAAGTGTCAACTCGCCGTTCCGCAACTTCTATTTTGCTGTTTTCTGTTTTTGCTGTCCGCTGTTCAAACTGGTACCAAAATTATATCTCCTTTGGCTTATCCACTTAACGTTGTCCATTATTTAAATGTGGACCCAATAATATTCTGTCGAATGCGCAGTAAAGAACGATGAATTATCTGTTCTGACCGCCAACAACGATCATTCTCTTTGCGCTGAGAGCTCACAATCTGCGACGGAAAATATTTGAGCAGGCGCGTCATGGCCGCCACTGCTGGTTGCCTTTTATCGCGGGAAAATGCCGACGGGAACTTGTTTCTTTATAAGACTTTCTTCCCTCGATGGTGAATGTGGTGCCCAAAAAGAAGGTAATTTATACTCAACATGTCAGTTTAGAAATTATACCATGATAGCATCCCGAGACCAGACGGAAGCTCAGCTCTAGTGTGACCGCCCCCCCCCCCCGCCCCCCTGACGCACATCTGGGAACAGTGGATGTTTTGGTAATCGTGATACAGTGTCCAACGTTATGGTAGTCCTGCATGCCAGGCGCGCTCTCTCACAGACGACACGCCTGTGGATTTGTTGTGTAGCCGCTCAGTCGGCCACGTCCGTTGTGGTGCTATAGAAAAGTGACTAGCAATCATCACGTTTTGGCAAGTTTGTGCGGCGGTCGGTGTTTTTACCCAGGCGGTGCCCGCGTGCCGTGGTGCTGGGTCTGTCGACCTCCCCGGGACGCCGACTTCATCCCGGCTGACCCGGCCGGCTGGCATGCGAGCCCGGACCGGTGGCACGCGCCGATGTGGTGTGCCCAGGGGCCGCCGGAGCCGGCGCGTCGCCGTCGGTCCGATGGCACGTGCCGGTGTGGTGGGGCCCGGGGGTCGCCGGAGCCGGCGTGTCGCCGTTGGTCCGATGGCACGCGTCGGTGTGGTGTGGCCCGGGGGTCGTCGGAGCCGGCGCGTCGGCGTTGGTCCGATGGCACGCGCTGGTGTGGTGTGGCCCGGGGGTCGCCGGAGCCGGCGCGTCGCCGTTGGTCCGATGGCACGCGCCGGTGTGGTGTGGCCCGGGGTCGCCGGAGCCGGCGCGTCACCGTTGGTCCGATGGCACGCGCTGGTGTGGTGTGGCCCGGGGGTCGCCGGAGCCGGCGCGTCGCCGTTGGTCCGATGGCACGCGCCGGTGTGGTGTGGCCCGGGGTCGCCGGAGCCGGCGCGTTGGCGTTGGTCCGATGGCACGCGCTGGTGTGGTGTGGCCCGGGGGTCGCCGGAGCCGGCGCGTCGCCGTTGGTCCGATGGCACGCGCCGGTGTGGTGTGGCCCGGGGTCGCCGGAGCCGGCGCGTCACCGTCGGGTTAGTAGCGTCCCGCTGCGCATCCGCCATCGCGTCGTGGGCGCCCCGCGGCCGAGACGTTGCCCTCCACCGATGCACTGTTCGCACGTGCCGCTCCTCAGTGTTGTTAGTGGTTGTCTGGTGAGATAGTAGTGGTGCTCGCAGCCACTCGTTGGGGAGGAAGGTGCTCGATCACAAATCGTGCTCTTACTCCATTTGTCGCAAGAAGGAAGAGCACTGCCTTCTCGAACGCTTTGATCACGTTGTGTCTTGAAGTCACGATCATATTGAAATAAAGTCACAGGATGGTAGATGCATTTGTTTTAAGAACGCCTGGGCCGTGTGCAAGGATGTGAGCGCCGGAGTGATCTGATGGAATCCCCATATTCCGGGCTCGGAATAACAGTGATCACTAAACACTGAAAGTGACTATGGTCACTCTTTACACTTAACTCCCGTTGGGCTTGAGTTGTTATACTGACGTAGTCGCCACTAACGAAATGAATTTGGTAGGGATCACTGTATATTTCCTCACAAGCAGGTAAGCGGGGTTTTCGACGCGCCAAGCCCACGCATCGATTCACTTACGCCTAACAGCTCGGGATGTTGAAAATGAACGCTCTGAGGGCCTCGTCATCTTGTCCAATGCGCAGAGACATTCAGGTTGGTCACATTTTGAGCCAGTTTGAGATCGTGTGGAGTCACCAGCGCACCTGCGAACATCCAGGGGGTATTTGTGTCTGCAAAGTATAAGCAATCTAAGCTTGAAGATTCATTAAGCACTGATCAGCGAGTTTTAAAAGCCTTTCACGTTGTGCATGTACTCAAACAGCTACGTGGGATTAGAGCATTCCTCTGCCGCAAGAAGGCTGTCCTTTACCTTATTTGTGTACTTGCAACGTATTAGGTACGTATTTTTTATCTATAGAAATGCGTACGTAATACGTTGCTATAACGTACGTATTTCTTATCTTCCAATCCTTATGAAAAAGCTACAAAATTTGTTCAATACAAAAACACGTTTTTTTCGTCCCCCAGATTCCGTTGTGAGGGTGTGAAATTGGGTCACGAGTAGGTCGATATCAGCGATAGGTGTTCAGCTGCCAGGATGCACTCCCCACCCATGAGCTATGTGCTAATTTTCTAATGTTCCAGATGCGACAGCTTGGTTTTCTTTACCTTCCTGGAAGATGAAGACCCACGCGGTCCGCGGTATGTCCTTACCGATGACGGAGGCTGTCAGCATGTTGACCAGCACGCTGGTGAACATGGCCCTCATGACAGTGATGCTGATGTCCTGGCGCCGCTCGGGGGCTAGCACTGTCATCAACGCCGTGATCACGCCGATGTGGGCGATGTTGCTGTAGCCGTACAGCAGTGCCGTCGTCACTGCCTGCTCCCGCATCTGTGAGGCAAGCGCAGGGCGTTGGCGCAAACGAACTCTGCAGCCATTCGTATAGGTCGTCGTCACGCACAACGTACCCGACCAAATCAGAGGCTTTTTCAGAGCTTGTCAACACGGCATGGCCACGTGTGAGGATCATCATTCTATTCTCCGTCAGCCACTTAGCCACTTTGCGTAGGTATACAATACGCCACGCATCCGTTCTTTTTCTACAAAAAGGTCGCGTACAGTGGTCGTATTCTTGCTTGACCTAACGGTAACCAGGGATATCAAACGCGGGGAGGCGTGTCAGCGTATGCGTCGGGTCCCTGGAATCCTGACACTCAAGTAAATCCAGGTCCAAGGATTTATATTTTCCCAAGCAGAAACAAGGAATCACAACATACAAAAGAATTGTTTGTTATTTGAGGTCTCTCTGAAGCCTCATCGTAGGCAAGAGTCAAAAACCTCCACTTGCCGGTCATAATCTAACAGCTAACCATAAACAGAAAACCAGCATCGCTTCAGAGTGGTCTCCTCAGAACACAAGTTTGAAGATAGCGGGATAATTCATAAGCGCACGTTTGGTCGAACCTTAAAGGAGCGCCTCCTTGCACGCCTGGGACAGGAGGCCAGATGGACGCCCTGCAGCCCCAGCACGGCGCCTGCAGGGCTCAGCGTTCAGCCGTTTATTTAAAAACATCCCAGCAGCGCTATTCAAAAATAGGTAGGCAACATGTGCATCAATTGTAGTAAGGCAGATGTGATGGCTCATAAGGGACATAGCTCCGATTGCTCCGATATTTATAGAACCTAAGCTTTCCCGGCACGTATTTTGTAAGGTTGCGCTACCAAGAGCTATGGGCAGATAATAGCTTGAAGATAAATCCCTAATCTCCGGTAAAAGACAAATGTCTGCAATTGATTACCGCCCACAAAGCAGCTGATGGCGATAAGCTTCGTTTTGGTACTTGACGCCAGTCCCTGGCTGTTGCGGTGTGTTAACACTAAGTGGATGGGTTCGCATTACTCTACGTCACGTTTCCTGGACAAAACGTGGGCTATCGCATCGTATTTCACGATATACAGGACGCCTCCTGAATCAGCTCAAAATGACCAGGACCAAGCGCCAACGGCCACGGTCTCCAGCATTGTAACCGCACTGTGATGCACTTACCGGGATCGGGTCAGTTTGCTGAAGTTTAGAGAAGGCCCTGTAAGCAAAGTTCTCGTTCTTGACCGTCTTGATGATGAATAGCCGGGCCACTTTGTCCGAGTACTGCCACTCCACGCCCATCAGGAAGATCAGTGGTCGACTGATGAATGACAGGATACCCTGGGGTTGCACAACTTGTTTAGCTCATACATGCTTTTTCAAACGGTAATGCAGGCACTCAGTAGTCTGCATGGAGGAAACAGTTTGCCTTCTCGAATCTGACTTGAAGCACGGGTGTCGAGTTGTATTCTTTCGTGGAGGCCTGGCCTCCCAAGGTTGATTTGCGCCTTCCTCCCAATATTGGCCTGGCCCCCATTTTTTTTTTGCCGGAATACCAAAAAAACGTGAGTAAAAGATGATCATAACACAAAGACAATCTTCTTTGCTCTTTCTTTGTGGTGGCGTCTCGTACCACTCCCATAACAAAAAGTTGTGGTGGCCTCGTCACAAGAAATAAATCGTAACAGCTGAGCGGATAAGCGATGCAATAAAGCTGACATACCTAGCGCCATGAGACACGCAATAGTTTGTGATGTTAAAGTAAAAAATTTTCAAATAAGGCCATGACCTAGTTCCTTCATGGCTTACCCCGTCCCCGTCCTCCATAACCAAAATGCGTGCCGCCTCCCATGAACGTCACAGAAGGGCGTGTTCGGCGTCCTAAGGTGGCGTCTAAAAGGGCGCCTTCACGTGCCGATCAGGAGGGACGCGTACGTCCAGTGCCTGCTCCTTGGATCCAACCCTACATGACTTCTATACTACTTAAACTAAGAGGTTTTATAAATTATACAAAGATCCTTTGTACAAAGAGACCTTTGCCCGGCAAGGTTGTCGGGCCTTCGGTTCGACCCCACTCCAATAATTCGCAAAAATTGACACTTCTGACTAAAACAGTACAAATTAAGGAGATCTCACGTGATCTGTACACTGTTCATTTCTCTTCAGATAATGAAAATGCTTTTGTGCACCTTAGGCTTTTTCAATCATGTCCGACGAAACAATGGTGGCGTTTGTGCTGTCTTTGGGTTCAGTAGCAGTCTCTGTCTTCGCTTCGCTCGAAACAGATTTCTGTCTCTGTCTCTGTCCCTGTCTCCGTCTCTCCGTCTCTCCATCTCTTCGTCTCTGTCCCTGTCCCTGTCTCTGTCTCTGTCTCTGTCCCTATCTCCGTCTCTCCGTCTCCGTCTCTGTTTCTGTCCCTGTCCCTGTCCCCGTCTCTTTGTCTCTGTCTCTGTCTCTGTCTCTGTCTCTGTCTCTGTCTCTGTCTCTGCCTCTGTCTCTGTAGTTTTGTAGATTCAGACGTCTGGAGAGTGTTGTATGGCTGATATGTGAACTATAAGGTTGGAGCGCAAATCTCCCATCGGTACTGATGTACTACATCTACATCACATCATCTACGGCTACAGCTACATCATCATCTACAGCTGCATCGGTACTGACATATCACATAACAAGTGTTGACATATAACAAGTTAAGTTCAACAACACATAACAAGTTAAGTTCTCGGAAATATGTTCGGAAGCCAAATGACGGTGCCATGCTTTCGTGCACCTAGTGGGCGTAGTGTTAATCCCGATATCTAATAAATAAATAAATGGAATATATATATATATATATATATATATATATAAATGTATGTACCGCTATGCATATATATATATATATATATATATATATGTATGCATATACCGCTATGCATATATATATGCGCAGATGTGCGGGTATGTGTGCGTGCGGGTGTGCTTGCATGCGCTCTCCTGTATATCAAACATGCTGTACCCGGTCAGGACGGCATTGCGAACATTGAGCGCCGCACAGACCGAGTGGCCGTGTCCGCCTGCGAGCCGATACTTACAATGATGTCCATACCCGGTATTCCGATGTTCTCCAGGACCCATCCCACGAACGTGTTGGACATGTTCACCACCGAGACCATGGCGATGAGTCCGGAGATGACGTTGACCAGAACCTTGATGATGGCAGTGGCCCCGCGCACGGCTGCGTCCACCAAATTGTATTCGTCCCTAGAGACAAGGAAACAGTGCAGGGCAACATCGACCCTCGCTTATCTGTCCGGCTCAGCCCACTGAAAAGGATACATTAGTAACACATCCGTCGTGAATATATATATATATATATATATATACATATATATATATATATATATGTATATATATGTATATATATATATATATATATATATATATGTATACACATATATACACATTTATGGAAGATTCTTTCAACTCTGGTGCATTGGGTGTTTTTATCACTTTTGATTATCAAGGGCGACAACTTGTTGTTGGAGAAAGAGCATTTCGATCCCGAATGGATGGCCAAAAAGCAGCTTCGTTGGGCAGCCTCAATTAGCGATGGATTTGGCCTGTCGAAAGCCATATCAGGAAGCTATGACCACATGCACATGGTGTGCATGATGTGAATCCCGCTGTCAACGGAAGCAAGTAAGCTTCAGCAACGGAGAGACCGTCATATAATAGCTCTCACAAACTTGGGCCAAGCATGATGATATGGTAAGTGATGCATCAAGTCAGGCCAAACAGGAGGAAAGCCTGTGCCCTTAATACCCTCAGCAGCTGCGACGAACTGATCTGATCACGTTTGCTTTGGTATAACTGTGTCATTATGTGGCTTAATCAAACTGAATAAACCAATACAGAACACAGCTTGGCAGTTGGCATGCCGCGTGAGACACACACTTTGTGACAAGCCTTGACGGAGTTCTGATCATCAACCATGCAGACCTCTGAATTTTAAACAATGCACTACCAGCTGAAGTGCTGTTAATGGTTTTAATGTTTTCGGTTATGAAAATTTCAGTACGTGTCCAACATTATCAAAAATATCACACCTAAGAGTCGGCGAGAAGTTAAGTCGTACCGATAAAGTGAGTTATCCGAAATGGCTGGGTAATTGTATATAATCACATCATTCGTCGGATACACGATCCTTCTGTCATCAGCTTTGTATTTATCAGCAACGTTCTTGTCGCAGCCATTGATATGGGATTTTTCAAGAACATTTCCTTCTTGATGTGTGGATATGATGAGTGTTATGGGCGAATTTGGTGAGAATGCGATTTTCCAGCAGTTCCTTTTTACTTCCCCTGGTGTAGCCCGGATCATTGCTCCCGCGTCCCAAGTCAGTTGAACATTTGGCGGACACGACGTTCTATCCTACTTTTTATGGTAGAAATCAAATAATTTCGAATATTTTAAAACGCATTAGCCTGCGATACCATCTGCAGCTAAAAGGAGCGCTGGATATATATCATGCAGCGTTTGCGGTGTTCTTATCGCAAGCCGCATTTTGTTTTGATGATAGTCTTTTTGCACAACTTACCTGTCCAGAAACTTGAGGTCCTTGTAGGTCGTGACCGACCTGTCGGTCTCGGGGTACACAATTTTTGATAACGCAAGTACTCCACTGCAGGTGGCGAAGTTCGCAGTCATCAGATTCACTTGATCAATTCCCAAGGACATGTACAAAGACAATGTAACGCCTGTGGAGCACAGACATAGCTCCATGTTGTAGCAATCTCGAGAACCAACGACAAATGCCACAAAAACCAGAACCCACCATGGTCTCGTTGGCGGGTCAACGTCAGTGCGCCAACATGTCAAGACGCGATTGCATCGACCTGGGAACGTTGCAGAGCAGTCCTGCGTGTGAGTGGTGCCACGATCGGGCCCAGAAGGGACCACACTCGACAACTTTTCCGACAATTGGCTGTTTCTGCGCATCGACCGCAGCAGACGGCAATGGGGCAGATCGGGCCGCAGGAAACGCCACTAGAGGCGTACGGCACGTCGGGCGGACGAATACAACAAAAGGCTACAAGCAGAAGCAACACTCGTCGCGTCACCTTACCAAGCGCCAATGCCTCACTTTGGGACGATGGTTGGGCCGCGAGGGTCCTACCTGTCATGAAGGCGAACCCACTGACGATAAATGTGTGCAGCTCGGACATTGTCAACAGCACTATGTATGGTTCCAGCACCACAGCCGCCTCTACCTGGAAAGATGCGCTCGGTTGTAGCATGCTGTTGCCGTGCTTGGTTCGAGCATCCATTTTCTGCCAGTTACGATGCCTGTACATGGCCAGGATTTCATGTAGATATCAGTGAGTTTTTTAAACCCTGCCTAACCGAGGGAGCTGGACTGAATCTCCAGGCTTGTCGTCTTTGACTACGGAAAGGCAGCGCACGACAGCGCTGTGAAATTCACCGTGGCTGATGACGCATTATCTTCTCGGATTTTGAACAGTACTTGATTCCAGGCCCTGTTAATTCACGGGTAGCGACATCTCAGAAAACCAGCGGAACCATTTTGCTCGACCGCAGATTCCTCCAAGTCCATGCCAATGGAGGCAGCCAAGTTGGAAAGGTTGCACCATGTTCACAAAAATGAAATTGCAATATGAAAATTATCTGCTTTAGCACCGCGTCGTCGGAAACCACCGCCCACTCAGTGACTCCCCTCAGATTTCACCCTGCGCTGCTTACTATCCCTCCCCGAGGCTACGGACCAGACGGTGATCTCATGGCCCCGGACGACCAGATCCCTTTTTTGGGAGAAGTGTCTATTATTTCTGGTCAACTGAGATGGGCCGATTAACTGAAGTTAACAGAAATGTCACAAGGAAGGGTGGCTTAGCTTTTCTGCCACAATCCTATCATCGTTTTGAAACGAATCTTAATTCCTTGGATACTGCTGGCTGTCTGGCAACGTTTTCACTACTACTGAAGTATATCTCACAGCTGCTCATAGCATTGCCAAGTGGTGGGGTTTGTAAGCGCTGGATACCACCCGCTGTGGCCCGGCCGGGTGAACATGGATTTGCTCTGACCCACGTCGGTGTTCCATTCCAGGAGTCGCCAGACGATGTCTGCTGACCAACTGCACTCCTGCACAATGTTGTCTTTGACACCACGCACTCACTTACCCCTCCGCAAAGTGTGCAAAGCGCGGCACAGATGGCTTCCACAGCCGTGGCTCCTGTGATCATTTCCAAGATAAAGCCGAGCTTGTGGAAAAAGCTTTGAAGGATCCCAAGGTAGTACAAGATATGCATGTAGCAGCCAGTCAGAGTGAGGGTACACAGCAGCTGTAAGAGACGTATTTCGTGAGGCAAATTCGCACACAAAACGAGAACAGCAGATTTCCCTGGCTACCTTGACTTAAGTTGTTACACACACACATACGCTATATGTTTGCACAAAACAGTCGTTTGGTCATGTCGGCAGCAGAAGTGTGAACACCAGCCACTGAATACTCTTCATGACACTTTTAAAACGGAGAAAACGACTGCACCATCGTGGGTCATGTGAAAGAAGCGTGATCCTTCGTTTAGACTCAGAGTAGATGCAGCACGTCATATCTCCACGCTGTATATGAGTACTTACCAAACACCACATGCGCAGATGAACAGTCTTTTGCTCAAACAGTGCCTGGGTTCTTTATTTTTCATATTGACTTGTAACAGCTCACTTTCGTTCCGACATCGGGATTGCTTAAGAATTATGTTGGGTTGTTGCCTGAACCCGCTGTTGCGCACAAAGGAGGACGCACACCGCACGAGGCAGCGGCATCTTTCAATTAAAATGCGGAAGCGGCCTGCGCCGTAGAGCGCAAATTTATAAGGATGAGCACTCTTGGTAAATTTAGATAATCGTGGAGACGATATATTGACTCTTAGATCATGTTGGTGAAGCCCTTTAGGCTGAAGAGGTCACGTAGCAAAAATGATACACTGAATGACTTTGAAGATGGACGGAGGGTCCCTGAACAAGCAAATGCATAGTCGTTAAATTAAGTGTGTATCCAACACAAACACGTGATCCTCCAGCACAGTGCAGCTTTGCCAGGCTTCCTAATGTTATGTGACGGCCTGCATTGTGTATCTGCCGGCGATAGAAACCGCTGCGGACAACACACAGCAACATACGATCAATGATCGTTCCCCATAAAGACAAAACGATCCCCAATGAAAACTGTGCAGCTGTGTACAGACGACCAGGTCAGACGAAAACCACGTTGCACAGCTTCGTGCGTTGCAAGGAGAACAAGTCCACAAACTGCACAAAATTGAGCCTGCTTGCCATGTACAGATAACGTGACAATGTATGACCGTCAAATTACGTCACTCCCAGATGTTGCGGGATTTCAGAGTGCGCTTCTTTACGTGAGCTTATGATTTACATTTGAATGTGACCCAGCGTGGCTTCACTCCTTGAAAGGTGATGGCAGGCTGTTCACTTAACACCCAAAAATAAGCAGACACCTACGAGTGTTACTGGAAACAACAAGTTATGCCACGCCGTTTTCCCACACAGCCATACAGTGTCTCATTTTGGAACAGCGCCCATCTTGTGAGTAGCCAAAACGAGCATAGTTGTCGAATAACCCTGAAACGGTTGTGATGAAAACTTTGTGCGGTTCGTGTCAACTTGCAATGTTCCGACTTACACCGAAAATAAGTCCATGGTGGCCTGTTTTAGTGAGAAGTGAACTCGATATGGAGGTCGCACTCCTATTCCTGGGTTAGCCGTTTTGGACCATTTTACATTCAGTTTGAGCATGATCTGTTCCGTGTAAACACTTCTGCTTCCTTTATATCGGATGTATGTAATGTCAAAAGGCAAAGCCTGATGGAATATCTCACCTCTATGGCTAGCATGTGTGGCAGTTGATCGGAGAACACGACTGCAGCGGCTTCCTTGCTGAACGAAAAAAAGACGGTTATCTTCTCGGCAGTACATTGCAGCAACACGCGGCCAAAGGTCCAGATCATCATGCTGTACACGATGATAATCTGTATTAACAAATTCTTGATGACCAGACGCCAATCAATCTGTGGAGAATAAAAATACACACTGATGACGGTGTGTGCCAATTTTTGATAGAACTGTAAGTAGCAAGAACGCACACATTGGATTTGCATGCCTCCGCATGAGCCGCGGAGGTCGGCGCTCAAAGCATTCTCGATGCCACCACGCAGAAAGTTCATGTGAATGGATGTCCAAGTAGCGGTGGAAGCGGGATGCGTCACAAAGAAGGGCGTAGAATTGGCCGTAGATTGCGAACACCGAATCGCCGGATGACTGCTGGGTGGCTTTGATCCACGATGAATGACGCCAAGAACATAGGTAACGAAATGACAACTGACGCAATCCATTCAAGACCACTCACAGTCTAGTATCAGTGCATGTGACCAGGCTGATATAAATCAGTGTCACTGGGGTGATGTCTTGGGTTGAACTAAATGCAACTCGCGATGAAAGCTCCGTGACCTGGACTGAGGTCAGACTTTGGGGTCCATTGAACTATCTGGGCTTGCGACGTTCTTTCGCAACTTGGCGCAAGCCGTGTAAAGCTTAGCTCTGTGAATAGGTGCTTAATAAGGTGGTGAATTATAGCTGGACAATGCAATCAACACGCTAATAAAACGTATTTGAATAGTACGGATGTTAGCGTTGCGGTGATTCGAGCAAAAACCGGCCACGAGGCCCCCTCTCATCAAAATTGGCGCTGCGAGCGAGACTCAAGGGCACAACGCAAGCCGCAGACACGGTGTGATGTTTCTTGCATCTTGTGCAGAAGATGTCGTTTGGCCTGGGCGCTCCGTACAACAGCGAGATGACTGATACCAAGATATCTCAATGACCTTCTTTAAGCGCGCTGTTTGTAACGCCACGATGCTATGTTTTGGGAGTGCAAGTCGCAAAAAAACTGGACGCGAAATTCCAACAACCGGTAAGTACATCTACAAAGAACCGTGTCGTAAACCTCAGCTCGCTTGTTTGTTTTGATACATGGGCATTCAGTTCTCTTTCTGGGATGATGGTTTGACCTTATGCTGAAATCAACCTCTGTCCCAAAGCTAGTAGGACAACAGAAGTACTCGCCCAGACTGCACCGGAAAAGCAGGAGCCAGATAAGATCTCCTTTGAAAGCACACGTTCGCTGAAATGAACAAAGGCGCCTTCGCCTTAATTCACCCGAAACCAACTGTCCGTCTTAAGATCATCACAAGACCACGGAACTAAATGTAGGTACGGCTGACAACGAGAATGCAACCGTAGCCCAGAACTGTAATAAAGCTCATATTTCGGCGTTAGAAGGTGCACTTCGCGACTCTGTACTGGCCGCGCATTTCCCACGCGTAACCACCCGACGGACACGTCGGCCGCATGACGTCACTTTTAGCTGGATGGCGGGCGTCGTGCCAGCCGCCCGGCATGACATTCTTTTGAAAAAGTTCTAAAACGGGCTCCGAAATTTGACATTCTCATGTCATGTCATGACATTTTTTTGAAAAAAAATCTGAAGAGGGCTCTGAAATTTGATTAGGCAGAGTCTTGCCTCAATAGAAGTGATACCAATGCCTTAAGCAGAGCCAGGCCTAAAACGGCAAGATGAAACTAAACATTACCAACAAACCTACATCTGCCATGGTAACTTGACATCAAGTGCATGGGTGTCACTAATGTGTTGGAAGCGTACCTAGGTTTCAGCAAGTACAATGTGTTTTTGCTGCTGTGACTGTGTTGATGTACGTATTGTATAGTCTATGAGAAGTGTTTCTGCACAATAAAGTGTAAAAGCAGTGTGAAAAGCTGGAAATGTAATATATTTATAATTGTATACATATATATATATATTATAATATATATATATATATATATATATATTATAGTATATATATATATATATATATATATGTATAAGATGTCGTAGGCCTAAGGATATTATTTTTATGTTGGCAAGATTTTGGGAATCCATCTATCATTGGTAGCGTGATGAGCAAAGCAATACGTTTTTGGTGTAAGAAAGGAAGGCACTCAGCTTCTGGTTTTTCGAAATTATTAGTAAAAAGTTTTATGCTGAATTAACTATCTACAATAATCCAGAAGGTGCTGGTTAAGCGAGGCTGTCATGCTAATGGTAGTGCTCAAAATTACGGGCTCCGCTCATCATCAGGGGGTTGAGCGCACTCATTCAGAGTGAGAGACTGAGAGAGCCTATTTCATCACCTCTCATCATCCTGACTCGGAGTTCATCCATGGGCGCGATCCTCCTTTTGAGAGCGGGTGTAGCTCGAAACCAGTTAGTGCCGCCAATAAAATATGTGTTTAGCACTGTAACCAGTATCTCCACTATTTAACCAGTAGCTCCCAAAATGTCGGAGGTCGTTAACTCGGCATAGGAGCTTCGAACCCGTAGCGCGCTTCTCAGTTCTTTAAATTTGCTGTTGAAAACGTTTCAGTCATCCAACCTTAAATGATCCCATGATGTGGTCTCACAGCTTGTGGATAAAACATGAATTAGAAAAAGATCGCTTCTACAAGAGGATGAAAGCATCACGAGACGTGAGAGACTGGCCAGCCCAAGGTCACGCGACCACTCGTGGGAGACATCTGCGCACTCATCTTGATCGGACGTCATCATTGCATGAGTTGTTACAGGTCAAACTGTAGCGTGTACGCAATAATGTAGGAGGAGACGGCACCTGTCGAGCTGCTTTGCGAGGCAATAATCACCAGGGAGATCATCAAGCAGTGCAGTTAAAACCAGTACAAAAAGCCAGCCAAGCCTACGTAACTGCTGGAAAGGCCAACCTTTCCTCACGCTCTGAGGAACGTGTCTGGCTGTTACTGGGAATCAGATAGCAATTAATTGTGTTAACTTACCTTTTCTGGCTCCACAGAGAGAAAGTAGGCGATCAAAATGATGGCAAAGTAGCCGGATAAGGCGATGCACTGGTGAGTGGAAGGCACAAAGCGTCCCTGGTGTGTCAACATCACAATCAAAACGAACACTATGGCGCAGGTGGCGAGACGCACCAACCTGAAACGGAAAGCAAACCAGTTAGCTATGATCTGTTAGACGTCTCATTCAACAAGAGTTGCAAGTAACACCGAACTCATTCCTAAGCCTTTAAGCTCCCAAAGTATGGTTTTTGCAAACCTCATTATTTACGATGGCCTATTTTGCCAATAGGCGTGACTTGTTCCTCATCAAAAGATATTGTGGAAGGCTTGATCAGTTTGATGAAGCCTTAAACATGGCTCAACAATGCTTTTAGCGTCATGCATAAGACTGAATACATGACATCTAAATCAAAGTTCCCTTGTTCATGTCATTTTTACCCGTGTGTATGTGTGGCCATCGCACGGCTATGTGTCGCTTTAAGCTGCACATGTACAGGAGCACGAGTTCTGATAAAAGTGATAATATTCATATCGGTGTTAAAACTGTATGGATTGGTACGGATGATGTATTTTGCTTTTGGTTAAGACGACATGAGAATGCAACTCAGCCAGCATGTCTATTTTTTCACTCAGGAGATGTACGCAACGTAATTAGTTTCTATCAGGGATAAATAGCGTTAGTGAAGCACCTCACCCAGCGACTTTTAATTCGACGCCAAAACCTTATTTTCATGTGGAGAGCTGCGCTTTGAAATTATGAGGGTCTAATTACCTCGCCCGTGATCTCAGAATCTATTTGGTCCACTGGACCGCTCGAGGCCTCAAACTTATCTCAAACTGATCAAAGAGCTCGAGCCAAAGCATAAACTATTCCCATGCAAGCAAAAGTTTGAAAAATGTCATTTATAAGCCGTTTCTACAATGAATTAATGCACTAAAAAGTTTTTAAAAAGCTTTAATTTTTTTAGTTACAATTTTTTACGTAATTATGACTTTTTAAAAATAAGTTTTTTACCTGTCATGTTTTGGTCATACTTAACACTCATATTTCACGCTGAGATCTGGCGCCATATATGTCCATAAAAGCATCATCTTGCGTATAGTCAGCCAACCGCAATTTTATCAAAACATGCGCCTTTGCAAACATGTTTGTAAAGACGCATGTGAAACGCTCTGCGAAACACTTCTACCCGAAAATCACTGATAAAAAGTTATGGTCTTTAAAAAGTTTTTAAAAGTTGTGTACCATAATCCTTCGTGAAAACTGCCGACGCCACATACGGTAGAAACAAAATTTGTTCTTCCTGAGTGTGCCACCAACTACCCGCTTTTACTCACTTGAAGCGAATACCAACCAATTATTCAAAATGGCGTTTATTAAGCAGGGTTTTTAAAGTCTTCCAGTGGATGCCTTTCCGTCGATTACGTTGGAATGGGCAGCTGCAGCACGACTTGGACACCTACAATCTAAAATGTGATGAACTAAACTATTACTGGAAATACGTTCGACAGTGACGCATACAATAGATTGTTTAAAGACAGGGCACACGAAATTGGCGAAGGTACCCAAATACCGAGAACACTAATGGTGCACGAAGCCAACCTGGTTCACCCGTCACTATCCCACGCTAAATTCATGCAAAGTTCAGAGGCCGTCACAGGCGAGAAGCCCACTTAACCGTGAACGAATGAAGTCATTAGATCGGCCACGCAAGCTTTCGGGACACCAAGCCCACGAGCAAATTTCAGAATTGAAAAATACGCTTACATTTTGGGGTCTTTATGACGCCTGTAGCGTAGCAGTTTCTTTACGTGAAATAAATTTTTTAAGCACCCACATAGAATGCTATGTGCCGGTCATGAGCTCTCTTGTTTTGGAGGGCGGCATAGGAAAGCGCTGCATGGGGTTTACTTAACCCGTCAGTGCTCTTCAAGGTATTCCGTTTTTTATGCCCAGAGATGGCTGCAAGTACTAGATGTGATGAAAAACCAAAATTCTGTCAAAAACAAACCGCTGTTAAACTGCAACGGCGGACTCAGGCATGTTTGGAAGTGGTTATTAATGCAAGCTGTACTAGTTCTTATGATGATATTGCCAGCAAGGCTAGAACAACTGATAGCCTGGCTTACAGCTCTTGAAGGGATGCGTGGCCGATTGATTATTATATCGATCCCTATGAAATGCTAAATAATCGGTGATTAACCACCGCTCAAGATCCCCGTCAAAACTGTTGGCCCTAGCAGGCGCTAGAACAATTTGGTATTGTAATATTTGTCTTCTGTTCATATGTCTGGGCACCACGGCTGTTCATGCCTAGAAAAATCTCCGAGATCATATCCTAATCCATATGCATGATGTTAGCGGCCAAAAAAGAAGAAGGAAACCTTAACTGCATTGGTCAAAGGCTCTTCCCCAGAATAAATATCAGTTGCAGCACCCCAGTGATATGGCCTGACGTCGCTTTTGCATTTGCAGTTTTTCTGTCTGTTTATATAATGCTTGTTATTTACTCGTGCTTAGTTGACGGGAGCTTTTGACAAAATTCCAGCAAGATCACATTTTCCCCCATAAGCTGTGTAGCTTCACTCATGAAGACAGCTGAGTACCCAAACTCCGCCAAATATTGCTTTTTTGCTGGTTGCGAGTGATGGATGCAATAAGTTCTGGGCTAGTTAGTCATGCATGCTAACATACGCACGACCACATTCATAGTGGTATAAGCAAATTACGGCATCTTTGCCTCACTTTTATCAGACCTCGAATAAGAGCTCAATAGAGGGTTTCTACTCACGTGTATTGGCACGTAACTCGACAGCATTCGAACGGCCGGATGCAGATTGATCTCTTCAGCCGCCGGACGTGGTGTATGTGGGGAAGGATCAGTCTGAACAGCATGATGTATAACAGAATGACGGCGCTGACCCACGCTACGAGACCACCTCCGTTGCACGCGTCATAGTCCTGTTCCATGATGTAAAAGCTGTAAATCTGGACGTAAATGACGTACGTTATCCAGGCAAGGAAAGCTAACCACCGAAGCTGTCTTTTGTGCTTCCTCATCCACCGCAGTGTGACAATGAATGCGTAGTGGGGATAGTAGAGACAGGATTTAGGATGACATCTCCGCTCGAGCTCGTCGGTTGTGTCTTCGGATGGAGTCTGCTTGACCTCATCTTGATCGGCCCATTGGCTGCTCAAAATGGCGTCCATCACAGTCCTGCTACTGGTTTCACTTCCATTCTACGAAAACAGCACCAAACTGTCGGAAAAAACAACGGCCAATGGCCCGACTTTTTCAAATTGCGAGCAGTTCATTCTGTACAGTCTGATCCCCTGTCTAAGCCCATCAGCTCTAACGTTTAGCAACACCTGCATTGTAGCGTCATCCACGACATTCGTATTGTTTCTACGAGGATCATTATTCCAGCGTGACATTCTACGAAATTCTGACCTTTCCTCGAGAGCGGTGACACGAAAGTTTCGAGAGACCTTTTAGTATACATGTCCATGCTCATGTTCATTTATCAAGCGAGTCAATCAATGTAGGTGGCCTGCGTACCCGCGAGACAACACTAGCAAAGTGTGACAGCCTTATATTTCCGGCTCTTACCTGCCCATAGTATTAAAATGAAGAGCTACACTGCCCAATATACTGGAAAAAAAATAAAATGATGAAGTTCTGCGCCATGCATTATTGGCATCTGGTCAACGTCAGACGTCTACGCTGTTTGACATCCCACAGACAATTCTGGCGCACGTGTAAGTGTGACTGCTCACCACCTGGCCGATGGCTCCGCCCAGGTCACCAAGGCCCTGAGAGCTTCGTCTGCGTGACATGACTTCACATGTTAGGAATACCCATAGCTTAACATCTGCGACCGGATCTGGAGGGTGGACTGACCACCGGTTATTCGTCATTCGGCCGATGGTTCGCTGTCCGAAGTGGTCCTCCAGCCAGATCATGGCCAGCCCTAACGTATGGGGAGTCGCCCCGTCATGCAGAAGCAGAACGTTCGCCCTATGGCCTTTGAGGTCTCGCTCCAGTTACTTTTAGAAGCCCTTCAGCATGCCAGCGTACCACTGATTGTAGACCGTGACCTTGGAGGCATCTACACATTTGTAAGACGAAGGGCCCAATGAGACCACTGGGGCTCGTGGCGCACCACATTGGCATCTTTGGGTTGAGCAGCGGCCTTTCCAGCGGTGGATGGGAGCTCCGATGTACAAGCCCGGCCTCTGAACATTTTGATTGATTTTTTTCGGAGATTAGGCTAGGAGATTAGGAGATTAGCCGCTCACACTAGAATGCATGCTAAGCAGTGCTTGTTGTGTGAACCCTGACCCTGTCACTCGATCGTAAAGTTCCAGTCCAACGGCAGAATTTTGTGGCGGGATTTTAACGTGCCGTAATATAAGGTACACCCCGGACCCCATAATAGTCTGGACCCGTCAAAATTCAGCCATACGAATCTTCCGCTATCAATATGGTCAGCTGTCTCGTTGTCGTTGTTGCCTGGGGGTGAAGGCAAGTTCCTTGGACATGAGACCATGTTCTCTTAATAATTGAGTTGCTGAATTGAGCGTCAAAACCACAGAGCTGAAGTGGCCCATAATATATATTTTTGATATATTTGTGGTAATCCTAGACGGTTTACCACGTTTCTTATGTTCAAAATGCCTTTGTAGTTTCTGAAAAACGGCCATGGTGTTGACAAAATAAAAAATGAGTGTTTTCGAGGCTAGCAAATTTCAAAGCAATCATGTATGGTTGTTAACACGCGGCCGGGATGGGTCAGTTGGCTCTCTCCCCGAAATGGTTTCCCGAATAACTTTCAACCTGCGTGGCAAAGCCAGGCCATACTTTGCATAGCTCTAGGCAAATGAATAGCGGATCTTTTGACATAAAAGTGAGATGTATCTTGTAATGTCGCTGACGTATGGCAGGTCAAAGTCAGGCCATGGCTGTCAGCGGAGGAAATTCCTAGGGAATCGTTCAATCTGATGCAACAATTGAGTGTTAGCAGAAGCCATACGTCTATGAGGTGGTGCTTTTAGGCAATTAGCCAGATTAATTTAAAATTTCGCCTACGTCTATTACTCTGGGTCGGGCATGAAAATGATACCGAGGGTAAAACCGAGCTGCTCTTTCACAGTAGAAGTTTGCTTTAAGCGGTAGTTTTGTTTGCTCCAATCTGAAGGTCTTGATCACAAGATCTTCAACAGAATCTTATTTGGTCTTACATAAGTTGTTAAGCACATTTGCAAGGAACATTATGTACATAGATGAGACAGCAGTAATAGCCTCATGTCTCGTAGAAAAAAAACCAGGAAAATGGAGATATAGATCCGTTGATATCTTGGCAACATGCCTTTATCGAAACGCATCTCTATCTCCATTTCCCCGTTCCCTTTTACGAGTTATGCGGTCAATTCTATAGTCCTATCTAATTTGGACTTCTCGGAGGTCAGAGGAGGCTACTGACCTAAAGTGACCCAGATGAAAATTTGGTTTAAGGAAAAAACGCTCAACGTAATCCTTCATGTTTATCTCAATTCAAAAACTAAAACGATCTCGCAGGTCTTTGTTCACCGATGCATTCTAGACGTCAAATGAGTTTACTAACCTGACCTTATTTGACATTGTTTGACCCAAGGGTCATAACGCAGAAATCTCAAAATTTCTCACAAGGGAGTTAATGTACAGGCCTGCCTGCTCTGTGGATTGATGCACCTATCTAGCTCGCTTAGTTTTTTAAATCTCAGGGGATCAAATTGTCCCCCTTGCCCATCCGAACGCGTCGCATTTAACCGGCTACCCGTGCGCGTGTTATATGAGGACGCATTCAACGCTCTCGCTGCAACCCAAAGGAACCCATGAACTTTGGTGCTCAAGCTGGGCACCCCACACCACTCTCACGGGCTTCTATTTATGTGTTGGCTGAATAAGTTTATGCTATGCGGCAGTCAGCATACCTACAAGACATATACAACAAGCCTCTTTGTGGCTAGTGCAAAATTTTATTTAGCTGCAAAACGCGATAATTTGCAGAAATGGCTAGCAGTATGATACAGAGATAAAGTTATTCCCAAGCTTAACAGCACGCTGTGGAAGCCCATTGCGTACCTCATCACCAAGAAAGATATCCTGAAGCAGGTCTTCAAGATGAGGGTGCTGGACACATGGGACAAAAAGAATGAAGTCGGTAGGGAACGGGAGAAGAACAGAGAGAGCTAACTGAATGACAATCAACCACAGGATGGGAAAAGGTGAAGTGATGGAGACAAGGGTGGCCAGGGAGTCTTCCTGCGGAGATAGAAGCATGAAGTATTTACTTCCGGCTACCACTTTACTACTTTCTAATCCAACGCTGTGGCCTTCTCCATCTCGCGGTTTATACTCATTCATATTTATCTCACCATCCCCCCTCCCTCCCCTCCATGTTCACGAGAAGGATGCTTCCCGTATCCCTGAGGCGCAGCACCTTCAGCCTGAGTACGTGCTGGAGGATGCTTCGTTGGAGAGAGCTCCGTGATGGGCAACTCTTCCAGCTAGTCGGTAAGCTTGGTGAGGTTTGAGCTCAACCTGGCTGTCGTGCCGCCAGCCATTTCTGAAAATCCTCACTTCTGGTGATTTAAAGGGACTGTGGCACCCTTTTTTACTGTTCAATTGTTGTTAAATTTGGCGTGTCCGATGTGATCAAATTACCAGCTTTCTCCGAAATCTCTGAATAGCTCAAAATGCTCTGAATAGCTCAGAATTTCGATTCGAAGAAATGTTGAGCTCTGCTCACTGCTATGAAAACAAGCATTTGATTTGTTTGTAACATACTAATTAGCCAAAACGTTGGTGTGGTAAACGCTACGAAAGCTTGGAACACCCTTTTTAGAGAAAAATCGCAAACATCAGGCTATATTCCGCGAACTCAACGAAACGTTATACCAGGGCATTGATTTCTCCCCTATGGAGCTTATAGCAATGACTTTTTTCGAAGCACACTGGCTTTGGGATACGAAGTATCACATAGTTCATAGAAAGGCACTGGTTCAAGCTTCAACCAATGCGTTTCTCGGTACCTGGCCATTGCCGCCTGCTGCACCAATCACAAGCCTGCTTCGTACTGGTGTCATTCATTCCAGTACAGGCGCACTTTTAAATCCGCAGGCCCGCATTTTGCCGGTTAAAACAACTTAAAAGTCCTATCTCTAACCCGTAATGACTGAAAACACCTTTCAGCAGATTGTGCCATCGTCATGACGACGGCAATTGTCATGACGATGGCGGTCGCGACAACTGCAGTTCTCGCAGGGTGCATTCTGGAGCTAGCAAGAAAGGAAGAAGTATCCTGCTGTTGCAAAGTGTTGACAGCGTAATTTGGAATAAAAAATAATTAAAGTTTACTTCCTTACTATATCTTGATGGTGCTGTACTGGCACACCCAGCACCATCATCAGACGTAAATGGTCCTGAGGTCTCGCCAGAGAGTATGTTTTGAAATACACCCCAAAGATGAGACGCTCCCTTTAACGCCAATCTTTTCTGTCCACCACGGGGCTTGACAGCACGTATCATCTTTGTGCATGAATTTCTATACAGCATACACTGGCAGCCAGCTAGTACACGGATGGAAAAGCGGGGGGACGTCAGTGTAGCACAGACCGCTCAAGTGCTGAAGCTCATGGGCTTTGTCTTGGTAGCAATGAGCGGTTGAATACCTGCTCGCTTACCTGAGCGCGCGTTGTTTGATTTCCGAGCCTTGAAGAGACCGCAATTTGTGCTTTATTGACGCCATAACAGTTTCCAAACCTTACAAAAGGGCGCTGTACGTCCAGAGCTATCACAGATATACTGGAAATATCTGTTCCGGATCCACTTCACGTCTGCAATTGTGGCAAGACGGTCGTATGACCTAAAACTCTTTTGGTGACGACATTTTTGCAGATGCCGGGCTATAAAAAGCCAGAGGGTCTCCTGTGCCGACCTCCCCCCCTTTTCCGCCCATACCCTGGGACAACGAGAGTCCGTATATTGGTAAGAGTGAATGCATACCAAACGGTCGGCTCCGCGTCAGTCTGAGAGCCTACTGTCCAAGCAGAGACACGGGCGGATCCCGCAAATGGCAGTCAAAAGGCTTCTTGTATACTTCGGGGGGGGGGGGGGGCTTCATGGGTGAGCTCTTTCGGCTTATGCAGCGTGTAAAAAAATGTCCTTTGCTGAACAAGGAGAGACCAAAAATTATTGGTCACCAGGGGCATTCTGGCCTGGGCCTGTCGGCCCCTCAAGCGTGCTCTGAACGCCCAGAAGTCACCTTAATCTATCAAGGTCGATCCCAGGGACTCTGGGTGCACCCATTCCTGGCCCCATTCCTGTCTGGAGCCCTTTGGCCAACCCAGGGGGCCTTTTAGGGTACTGAGGGTTTTTCCGAATTAGGGGGACCGCTAGGCTGCCAAAAAATCATATGAAACAATAAAAAAATAAAAAGTCTTTAAAATGTCTCTCTGGGAACCTGAAGACTGCTCAGGACTTCTTTGAGCTCTCAGAGTCCTCTACAATATCATAACCTAAGGATAGTTGTAATTCCAGTGATTCAAGGCCCAATTTGACGCTCAAAGTGGGGTGTGAAGTTGCCGTTTTATGCTGAACGGGGCCCCAATGACCTAACAGTGGACCCTGCCAGCCCTTTAAATATTTCATGAACCAGCCATGGAGATATCTACTAAACCATTCCAGCTTCCCTTTGTTATGTGTTTGTATGGCAAAAGTCAGTCAAAGTCTTACGTCATAAGCCATGCCGTCAGTTTTTTTGACGCTCATTTTCCATTGAAATCCCATAATTCTAAGAAAAGCTGCACCAGCCAAGCAATCTATCGATGAGAAGCCTTATCTAGTATAAAGGTAATCACCGAGTAAGCTCAGCAATAAATCACCTGCGTCACCTGTTGCCCAGTTTTTCATATAATCTATACATCGACTGGCCGTGCCCCAGGGTGTGTGTCATCGAACGAAATGAAAACACTATTTGTGTGTTGTCAATTCCGCCATACCATACAAAATCAGACGCATCATTCCTTGCGCCTGCTAAGATCTTTCATGACCTTCTCTTACCACTGTCGTCGATGTCGAAGAAAGGTAAGATTTTGTAGAATGCCACGCTTAGCTCACAATGTAAAGACGGTTGGAATCATGTAAGGTTATCGGATTCCCACATTGCTGTAGGTCACTGTTCTTAGAGAGGATAGATCATCTTTAAACTCTAGATAAACTGACCTGTTTGCTGTTGAAGACTGTTGGGTGTTGGGTGACTATAGACCAAAAAGTATAGGATCACGATCTTTTTGGAAAGGAAAAAGAGCGTGCGTTACGTGTTAATGAACACAGTGTAATACCAAGAACGAGACCGCCGGCCCACTGTTCAGTGACCATTGTCCACCAGTGACCCGAGCGACCGTTCACCAACCATCCGCGCAGCAGCATTCCGCGCAGATGCAACGATGGGGCGGTTAGAGAAATCTCCAAAAGAGCCCCCTATCAGGAAACACCATTTGAGCAATAATACAGTCGCTGACACCTGGGCCACACCGTCCGGCACCCTTCAGCTGCGCACCATCTGACGGCACTCCACTGAGTCACCACGTCGCCAGTAAAATGGCAGTGCCGGCGTGAACCGACGTACAAATGTATGAGCTGTCATATGTGTGTCGGCGAGGGTGGCAGAAGTAATGTGTGTGTGTGTCGCATCCTTCTCCACATTCTCATCTCCCTCTCTGCCCACCTGAGGATGCGGACAACCGGATATTTTTGCCCTCCAGACTTCTGCTTTTTTATCCTCAACAGCCAACAGTCTTCACCAGCAAACAGGTCCCTTTATTTAGGGCTTAAAGGTCATCTGGCTACACGCTTTGAACAAGTGCAACTGTGTTAAGATGGCTCAGGGCTGTTTAGAGGCGCTAAGATAACGTGAAGATCGATGCAAAGTTCAAGCTCACCCTTTCAGCCAATATGTTGTCTTGCGAGGCCTTTTCAGAAACAAGTTTGGAGATGGACTTTCTCCAGGCCGACACAGGACTGCTACTCTCGTGGTAGTGGAAATTGATGGACCTGGCCTGCAAATGAGGAACATCAAGAATGCCAATAATCTCTCCCAGGCTTTTTTCTACGTATCTGCGATTCTCTAGTGTACAGATGAGAATGAACTGTGAAGGGTACACCTTTATCATGAGCCCAACCGCTGGTCATTTTAATTGTTTAGGTTCGGCAGGGGACTGATGTTTTACGGTATGGAGGCCGTGAGTGCCTCATTTGATATCCAAAGAAACTGCGGAACAAAGTCGGGTTGTCTGAGACGGACCACCCTCTGGCCATTCTTCACCCCTCCCGACCACATCGAGGTGGTTCCGTTTGACGTACCGAAGGATCCGGCACGACGTTAATGATGGGCGCCGTGTTCCGTCGAATGAACTGCTCTGGCAGCAAGGTCTCGGGTTCTCTGAGACTGTAGAATCTTGTATTCTCAGCCTGTGAGGAGGCAAAGAAGTGATATCCGACGCATTGTTTTGGTTCGTAACCCGAGCCCGGCCGCGAGGTAAGTTGCCTAACCCCAGTGGTGTTTTCAGCACAAATAAAAAACGCCGGGGTGAAAAGGCCAATTATTTACCGGATATCATTGGATATCGTTGACGTTTCGCTGTATGAGCAAGTTGAGCCATATAACGCTGCTAAGCACATTAACTTTAATCACAATAGTTTTAGTTTGTGGCAGAAACATACTACAACCTTACGATATCAGTGCTGACGTCACAGAACAGTGGTGAGTGTTTTTGAAATGCCTCTCAGATGAGTGCTTTTCACAGATTTTTCAGCCAAGATCCACATCACATACTAAACAGCATAGGATCCCACATAGCTTGGCTTATTACTAGTCGTAAGAATCGTGGCTGGCGACGGCATCCTGCGACGAACGTGATCAATTTGTTACGCAGCGTCGTAAGCGTCGCGCAGATTGAGACAGATGGGCTCGATTGCCCGCCATGCGGTAGTTGCTTTGGGTTTGGTGCAAGGTTGTTGGCTGCTGTTGGTCGTGTTCATGTCATGAAAAGCTGGCTGGCTCCAAGAACGTAGCTCATCAGCAGTCTTGGTTTAAGGTAATAGCGTTAAAAAGCCCTGTCGATCTAGGATTGTTGTTTGTGGGAACCTGGGCTGTAGCCTCAGAGGCAAATGGAGGACATTTAGGCGACACATGTCAAGGATTCATCCGGGGCTTCCTGCTGCTGAGAGGTAGAGCGGCTCTGAGGAAAGAGGCCGAGCATCGCTGATGTAGGTCTCTGACATTGTCCGTTGACCTCTTAAATTACCGTGCTCATCGGTGGACAGGCGTGATATAAAATGTTTTTAGTCGTTATCATACTGTATATAAAGCTGAATGAAGGTGCTGGAGGTGTTCAAAAATGTTGTTTGCATTTGTTAATACTAATATTGTATGGGTTTTCCTCCAAATAATTGGGCTGATGCTGGGAAGTGCGGTCCTGCACCCGCAATGATTATGCAAAAATAGTTGGTCGCCAACGCTTTCATCTGATTGTACGATGACGTCACAAAACCAAAGTGATATTGGTTTAGGTGCTTGTAGTAGATTGTAGTAAATGTAGCGCTACAGGGATGCAGTTTTGCAAAATGCGTAGGGGTAAGGTAAAAAAGAGTGGTGCAGAAAGGGACAATGGCCGAGCCTGCCTCCGAAATGCACTTCAAGCAGTTTTCTCCACATATCTGACGCACTTTCTTTTAACAGTTGGGAGCAGGGGTGCAGTTTCTCAAAAATGGCCCTGTCGCTGAACCTCAAGAGTTATAAAAAATGAAGAATGTTGGATACAAAAGATAATAAAAATGTACATTATATTAACAAGGTGGCATACCCGCCATCCATATTTAAATAACCAACACGTTGTTTGCTTTACTTATACTTTGTGATCGCTGAAAATGCTGACGGGAGTGTGCCGAAAAGGACGTGTGTGTGTGTGTGTGTG